GACTTCCAGACGATAAAAGTCTAAATATAAAAAAAACCTTTGAAAGTCAACAAAAAAAAGTGAATAATATCATCCCGGTTGTTCAAAAATCAATTAATAAGAAGTTCTTCCCAGTGACCGATGGCATCATTAAACATGTCATTCATGAACGTCATCGGCACCAACAGGAAGAACTTCTTAATGCAAGACGAGGTGCAAATTGGGTAGAAAATGATAAAAGAAGGCGGCACGCAAATTCCCGATGAAGTGATGTAAATATTAAATTATTTTGTTTGATATTACCTTTTCTTATTAATAAATATTTCCTATTATTTATTTAGAAACGTGAAAGAAGATCAAAAATCATCGACAAACTAACCACGTTAAAGGACCGATTGGTAGATAAATTCTACGATGATGAGCTCAGACCTGTTCAGACCGAAAATCGATACCACAGTCAGGAGGAATCAGAGAACGATAAAGACAAACCAAACAAACGTAAGATCATCATCCGGGATCTCAAATGGAGATCGTCTTCTGTAAGTATTCGAGTAATTTTTACCAATCGGTGTATCTTAATTTAATACTATTTTTATTTGTATAGCTACGTTACTACGTACATTTTTTTGAAATTATGTCGATAGTGCGGCTTCATCAAAGTCTCGACGTGTAAGAAATCGGGAGTATAGTAATTACGCAACTAACAAAATTGATGCACCAATTAACGCCTTACGATGGACCAAAGACGGCTACAATGGATCCCTAAAACAGCTTATCGAGAAATATAGTAAAAATAAATGCTCTCCTCCAGAAGAAGCTGACGAAAACCAGGATCCACCAGAAGAAGATGATCAGGCCGGAGAAGATGAAAATCAAGAAGTTGTTGACGAAAATCAAGAAGAAGTTGACGAAAATCAAGAAGAAATTGAAGTAAATCAAGAAGACGAAGAAGAAAATCAGGAAGACGAAGAAGAGGATCAAAATAAAAATAAAAGAGTTGTTAGTGTTGTTTCCTCTGAATATGATAGTATCAGCAGCGAATAGTGGAGTAGTCAAATTATATAAATAACAATTTTAGCAATATCGGTATTTCAATAAAACCGATTTTTTAGTATATTAAATATTTTAAATATTTTAAATAAAATCGTAAATTTTTAAATAAAATCGTAAATTTTCGTAAATTTTTAAATAAAAATGTATGGCAATCGGAAGATTTCTTATTGTTATAAATTTATCAAAAAGCTATAAATCGGTATACTGATATGTCAAATAGTAAATATTCTATTGGTAACTATTAATACCCGATTGTACTCTATTGAATATCCCGATTGGTACCTGAGTATCCTCCTTTTACGCCATCTTTTGGCAGCAATCGGGTTTACCGATTGATGAAAATTTTTTAAAAAATAGGGACCAATCGGGTGGAATTCGGTCACCTGATTAGTCCCCGATTTGACATCGTTCGACTAGTGTTTTACATATTAAAGTAATAAATAAAAATCCTGAATTGCAAACCAATCAGTAACCAATTGGTCACCAATCGCTTATATCAGATTGGTGACCGATTGGTGACTGATTGTTAATAATAAACTTAATATATTTATCAGAACAAACTCAAAAGCTCAGATTAAGTATAATTTGACTTGCTNTTCTGATTTAAAAATCGGCACTTCTATATGTTATGAATCAGCATGTTTATTTTCATGCCGGCAGTCTGATTGTGATGATATTTTGTAAATTTATTTACAAATAGGCAGTCCGATTATTGTTTGAATCGGCATGATGGTTTAAAATGCGGCATTCCTATTTTTTGTAATTAAAAAGAGGAATTTCTATTTTTAGCAATTCACGCCATAAAATCGGCTGAATAAAGCCACGAATCGGACAAATACAGCCAAAAATCGGCAGTCCGATATTTGACCGATTTTTACTTATTTGACGTGTGGCTGGTATTCAAAGTACTTTACGAGTAGAAGCAATGAATTCTATTATTGCATTTGATACAAATCAAAGTACTGGACTTTGTCAATTATTTAATATTCTAATGGGCAGATGTGATTTGGAAGCAAACAATGTTTTGATTAATCAGCAATTGCAAAAACAACCAAATGTTTCATTATCAACAGTTTATAATACAATATACAAATCAATTGATGAAGAAATTCAGAATTATTTGTTGCCTAATATGCATAATAAGGTTCGTATTCAGATTTCTAAAAGTTTCTTATATACAGCTCAACAATTTGATGGCAACCTTGAAGAATATATTAATGTAAGTAACTTTGATAACTTTTTATTTGCTTTTATTTATTAATTATATTATTCACTAATTTGTAATCAAATATTTAGTTACAGGGAGAAATTGATAATACAACCGAAGGATATCTTGAAGAAATGTATAAAAAACAGCAAATTAACTTGAAAACATTATTGGAATATGTAGAACAGCAATATATTACATCTTTGTGGATTATTAGACCTATGGTTTCAAATTGGAATCATCATATTTTGATCTTAAATGATGGATCTTTTTTATACACATGCTTCACAATTATTAACTTCGGAATACCTTGTCGACATTTTTTTTGTTTAATGAGATATACAAGTAATGCACAATTTGCAATGGCTTTAATTAATCGTAGATGGTTTAATGATGATAAAGTTTTTGATTCAACAATAGATACTTCAATAACAAAATCAATTAGTATCGTCCAGGAAGAATCTTATATTGATAATCCGATAACACCAAAGTGTCAGATTTTAAGTACATTAAGAAGACAGTCTCATTGATACAGAACTGGTAAAAAAATTATCAAAACAAAAACAGCAATTTATTGAGGAACATGAGTGTATAACAAAAGCGTTGAATCTAGCAATTAAAACTGATTCTGTTGATGAATTAATTGGGCTGTGTAATAGGTTTATGTCTTCTCATATTCATCTTAATATTCAACAAACTAACGGAATATATCAAAATGATCCCAATTATATTCCAAATCCAATTGTATATAAAGTTCGTGGGCGTCCACCTAAAAGACTGAAAAGTGCAGTGGAAATTTCTAGAAATAAAAGGACTTTTAAAGAACTTATGAATATAAATCAAACTGATGAACAAAATGCAAAAACAAGTGCGGCTGCAGCTGAAGTAAATCTTCATTGTGGACAACGAAAATGTAAAAAATGTGGGCAATTAGGTCATTATCAAAAGAATTGTAATAATAATGTATAGATTTTATTATAGTGTAGAGATTTTATTGTAATAATGTCATTATAATTAAAGAAATTAAATTTATTAATAAACGTATTAATATACACAGTTTTCTTACAATTCGTAACTCTAAATATATCACGTGACATACTGTAAAGTGGTGTTTTAACTAGAGCTCTGCACGGGTCAGGTCGGGTCAGGTTACCTGGTTAACCCGAACTGAAATTTTTTTCAGGTCAGGTCGGGTCGGGTAAACCGTTCTGACCCGACTTGACCCATTTGACCCAAAAGTATTTGGGTCACTTCGGGTAACTCAGGTTACCTGAAGTTTTATTATTAAATATTTCAATTAAAAAAACGTTATGTAATGTTTTTTTTTTATTAATTATACAAAAAATGTCAGGTTCGACGTTTTTAAATTAAAAAAAAAGATTTTTTTTAATTTTTATTGAAAAAATGTCAGGTCCTGGCGTTTTACTTTTGTTTTTATATATAAAAACGCCGAAACTATTTGTTTTGGCATTTTTGTTTCGATCTTAGATGTAAAAACGCTGGAATTATTAGTTCCGGGTTTTTCATTTTGATTTTACATGTAAAAACGCCGGAATCATTAGTTCCGGCATTTTTCATTTTGATTTTACATGTAAAAACGCCGAAACTGAAAGTTCTGGCTTTTTTTTTTCAATTTTACATGTAAAAATGCCAGAATCATTAGTTCCAGCGTTTTTCATATTGATTTTACATGTAAAAACGCCGGAATCATTAGTTCCGGCATTTTTCATTTTGATTTTACATGTAAAAACACTGAAACTATTAGTTTCGGCGGTTTTTTTCAATTTTACATGTAAAAACGCTGGAATCATTAGTTCTGGCATTTTTCCTTTTGATTTTACATGTAAAAATGCCAGAACTATTAGTTTCGGTGTTTTTAATTTATTTGACCCAAATATATATCGGGTCAATGGGTCGGGTTAGGTACCGACTAGCACTGACCCGACTCGTGTCAGGTCATGAAATTGATGACCTGACCTGAATATTTTGGGTCAACCCGTTGGGTCACCCGATCTGTCAGGTCAGGTTGCAGAGCTCTAGTTTTAACCATATATATATGGTTATATAACCATAAAAGGTGGTGAAATAACCAGGATGGTGATCGTAACCACGGTTAAGTTTAGCAACGGTAAAATATAAAATAGTATCGAAATTTTTAATAAATGTAAGTAAATTAACTAACCTTTTTTATTTACTTTTTTATAATATTAAGGAAGTCTCTGAAGTCTGAAATAAAAAAAGTGAAAAAAAAATAGATTGATAATCAATAGCCGATCTATTTTTGGGACACTCAGACTGTTCATGACATCCGAGACGGAAGGAAAATCTAGTGATACAACATTCCACACCATTTGATTTGTTGGGACATTGTGGGACATGGACATTTGGATAATATCCCAGACCGTCTGTATCCAAACCTTATCGTTCGGACATTGTCCCATACCAACACTGTATGCAGGGATTGCAGGCAATGTAGCAATAACTGTTGGAGATGCATTTTTCCCTTCACGTGCTGATGTTGTTAGAACTAACTTTAAAGTTGAAGAGCAGTGGAGACGTGCAGGTGGACGTCCTACTAATCGTCCTGTTAATGGATTGGGAAATCATGGAGGTCCATTTAATGCTGCTGTCCAGAATCAGCCTATAGTCTTACAGGGGATTCTTCTGGATTAAGCATTCATGCATATGTGCACAAATTTTCCAACTGTCGTGGAAGAAAGACTTCAGATACGATTTAGTAATCTTTATCAGGAACAAGGTGAACCTGTTCGATCTTTCTATAAATGAATTGAGAGGGCTGGGGGTATTGTAGGATATGATCAAATCATGGTTTCTCACCAGTTTTATAGAGGACTTTTACCAGAAAATGGCATTGAAGCTTCTAAAGTTGGGGACGTATCTCTTGATGTTTTACTTAATAGATTGAGTGATCTTGAGAGACGAAAGGGTGAAATGTTCTATGGGTTACAAAAATGTCAAGATATTGAAAAGGCCAAAAATGATGAATTGGCTGGCTATATTCATCCTATGACTCCACATGAATGTGCTGTAGTACAAAGGTCAACAGATGTTATTACTCAAGAACGATTACAAGAAATACTTAAGGCTCAGGCTGAGGAACTTACTAAGAATTTCCAGGCACAGTTTAAACAATTACAAGCATCTAAGCCAGTTCGTAAGCCACCAGTCTATAGACAACAAATTAAACCTATTCGACCAAAGCCATGGCCACGCGTTATCCAACAAGAAGATGATGATTATCCTGATCCCGATTGGGATGATCCATTACCTGATGTTGGTGATGATCCTGATGCTCCTGCTTGGACTTTGGATAATCATCAAAATGCTATTGATCTTATTATGGGATATAAGCGTGGGACGTCTAAAATACTTACAAATCAACTTCAGAAGGCTAAAGATAGACATGATGATTGGGAATTAGCCTGAGCAATGAGAAACCTTGATCTTAACGATGATGCTATGGACATTGATACTGCGAGCTTTAGTGAAAAGGTAGAATTGAGAAAAAAAGATGGTGATGTCTATATGGTTCGTGTTGGGTCAAAAAAAAGTAGGTTCGAGTATCTCAAAACTTCTTAAGTCATTCCCGAATAAGACAGCAGTAAGCTCTCCTAGTGTGCCTTTAAGGGGCAAAACAACCCCTATTAAGATTTCTGTAAAAGTTACTGGTAGTAAGTCTACACCTGCAAAAGCTGTTATTAAGAATGACTTATTAAGCCTGTTAAGGTCTGCAGACTTTAGAAAATTACTTTGTGAGATTCTTCAAGAGGAGATGATGTCTGCTAGAAAAGTCAGAGATTCCAGAGGTTCAGGATTTAGCTGAGGAGGAACAAGAAGAGAATATTAGGGAAGACTATCCTATGGATATTGACATAACTTGTTTGGAGAATACTAAAGATCTTTTAGTACTGGATGGGAAGGTTAATGGAATAGCAATTCAGTGTTTAGCAGACACTTGTGCTAATGCGTCTTTTATTCAGAAAGAAGCTGCTGAGGAATTAGGGTTGGATATCGACAAGAGTATTACATACAACATATCCGGTACTCCAGGAACAGGTAGGATATTCGGCATGGTAAAGGGAGTGTCAATCAAACTTACCCCTGATTATGCTATCACTGAAGATCTTGCAGTTTTAGATGGATACAAGCATAGGGAGATTGGGTTAAGCCGAACATGTCTGAAACGTTACAATTATAATGTCCATGAATCATGTAAACATATAGCCCTTACTTGTGATGAGAAGAATTTTTTATTCCGATAGTTCCTGATACTAATCGAGGAGACAAAAAATAAGGCCCTTTAATTCTTCTATTTTTTTATTCTCAAAACTTGCGAATTAAGTCAGGGACATTCTCCTCCAACCAGTCAGCAGGTTCCCAAGTAGCCTCAGTGTCTGGATAGTGCTCCCACTTAACCAAATACTGGTCTTGACCTTTTCTAATGCGACGCTGAAGTATCTGCTCAGGAACAAATCTTTCAGGTTGTCCTCTTATCACAGAGTCAGGTGGGAGCTTTTCATTAATAGGAACTACTTGCAATTCCTTTCGGGTATATGCACATCTGGATATACCTAATTGACCATGTGGTCCGTTAAGGAGATATGTAGGAGGCTGTTCGGGTGAGAGTATCATTTTTTTAATTACACGAATGTTTGGGTTCCATCTTATGTCTCCTGTACAGAATTTTCTGTGAAGTTTGTTACCAAATACAGAAATAGATTCATCTAACTTGACTCTGACACGTGTTCCTTCAGAGAGGAGTTCCATCTTTTTTGACACTTTAGGTGACCCTGTCGGAATGTCTGGGGGATTTCTATGCCAGAGTTCATTTACTTTACTAACTACATCATGGAAATCTTCTGACCATTCCACGGATGTCACCCTGGTTTTCAACTCCTATGTCACCATTCGTTTGAGAAGGGGTTCTTGGATGGCTTGGATAGCTCTTTCAGCATATGATTGCTGTTTATATCTACCTGGCTCTCCGAACCTCATCATCACCCCTAGGCTGTTCAGGAAAAAATCGCGTACCTAACCATTGGTGAATTCTGATCCAGAGTCTGTTTCCAGTCGATGTGTTGGTAGCTTAATATGATTTCTTCTGTAGATTTTAACAAATCCATTGAGAACCCTATTTGCAGTCTTATCCTTTAGGGGTTCTGCATCAACTCGTTTACCTGCAACTTCTACTACTACAAGAAAATAGTGGAATCCTTCGGGGTCAACTGGCATCTCTGCGAGATCTGCCTGATACATCATATTTGGTTTTCATATAACTACTCGTGGATGCTCTGATGACTTCTCCTTTAGGGGCTTTTTGTATAGATTGTAGTGCTCTTCACCTTTTAGAATTCGTGCTGATACTCCAGAGAGATTGTAGTACTTATAGTAATTCTCTAAGTGTGACATATTACGACAAATTAAAGGAAAGATTTTGGACTTCAAATCTCAAGATAACATGATTTTACTGTCTAAAGTGCAAGAAGGAAACTGAGACTACTAGTGAAATATAAGATATGACCACAAATGGACATTATCAACTACATGGTGATTGTACAGTTTGTGGCATGCATAAGAATACTTTTACTGGGGTAGACTGGGTGATTAAAAAGAAGTCTAAGGAAAAGAAGAAAGAAACTGCTGCCAAAAGGCATCAGACGGCTTACAATCAGCAATGCAAGAAACTTGGACAGAAAATTTTAGATGCTGATGACATGTGTAAGGCGTGTATTGATAAATGCTTTAAGGAGGCAAAAAAGAGGAAAACAGATTAGTACTGTCTTCTAAACTTATCTGGATACGCTCTATTTCCAATACTCATTGTTCAATTATTTATTTTTTCTGACAGGGCAAGTGGCCATAGTTCAGTGGTCATAGTTTGGTAGTCATAGTTTGGTGGTCATAGTTTAGCTGTCATAGTTCAGCGGTCATAGTTCGGTAGTCATAGTTCAGCGGTCATAGTTTTGGTATTCCAGGTAAGTAGATAAAGGGCGGTTATAACTTGAATCAGGTTTTGGAGTCTGAGGAGCTAACTAAGGTGGCCATAGTATTATCATAAGTTTTTCGAACTGTAGCCAGTACTATGACCGGATATTCTGTCTGATTTTGGCTTTATTCGTGTTTTTATCCACTTTTTAGTAGTCTGGTCATAGTGGTCATAGTGGTCATAGTAGTTTTTATATAAGAAAAAATGGAGAAAAAAAAAGAGTTGGAAAGTAGTGTGACCAGCCATGGCCACTGTGGCCATGGCGGTAGTATATATGGGGATGTCTAAGCCCCGTAAGAGCCAAATAGGTACTGCGAGGCCATGAGGCTGAGGTGAAGGAACGTAGTGACTACACATCCAGCCCAACAACACACTTTCATTTTTTCCTTCCCTTTCATTTTCCCATAATCCTTTCATTCTTCCCTTCATCCCTATAAAAAGCTTTATCCAAAAACTATGTAAACTCCATAATATAAGGTCATTAATTTCTGAAATATGAGCCTTATATGGAAAAATGTTGAACTTTTGGTAAGTTTCACAATGAAACTGCGAAACTACTTTTTCATTCTTTAATAAAACGTTTTTTAACATTTTGAAAATATTATTCTTTTTTTTTTTAATCAGAACATTGGCTAACATTCCGATTTTTTATTTCATTTATTAACGAAACATTTATTATCGCTATTTTCGATTTAGTTGAAACTGATTAAATTATAAATAAAAATAATAAAATACCGAAAACACTTACGTCACATGTTGATCAACANCCAACCAGTCACCAATCGGTCATATGACCGATTGGTGACTGATTTTTCATATTTCGACCTGTGTTTGTTGAAAGGAAGTTTGCTGGCATAAAGAAAATGTAGAGTTACAATTGCAATTTCCAATATTACAATCCTTTACAACAAAGAGATTGAAGGATTCTGTTAAATTCTTTCGACAATTTTTAAGCTTCCTATACAACAAAGTCTTGTTATTTAATACTGTTAAGCCAGTTCTTGTATGTTTATAAAAATAAGCGTATGGGTGTATGGTAAGCAGAAGGATAATTGAATAAAATAAGTGTTAAATAATATTAATGAATGAAAAGTGAAAATAACTATATGTAAATATTAATAAATATATCACTGTTGATCAATTTACGAAGGTTACACAATAAAATAAAATGTAAAATTCAGTCAAATGCGAATACGGTATTGCACACACGGGCATATACACTCAGACGCAATATTGACTCACAAAATATAACAATTATGAAAAATAAACAATGAGATAATTTATTTAATAAATGCTTTATTAAAATATAACAGAATTATCTATTATTACATTGATTTAGAACGCATGTATTTATAACAATAAATTCTATGCTAATCATGTTAAGAATATTAAATAAATGCTATATATTTAACAAATGTAATATGTTAAATATGTGTTATATATTTAATATGTTGCATATGTTTAACATGTTAAACATATTAAACATTCGTAACATTTGCAACATTCGTAACATTCGTAACATTCGTAATATGATCGCCGGTCATGTGATTATTCGATTAACAACTTATGATGAAGCTTTCAACCAAAAAATTTTACAATTTTTAGATAAACGAATTGATTTTTAGGCATCTTATACAGCATGCCATACACTAGCGGTTGTAAACAACAATGAGAATCTCAATTGTATAATGAGCACTATTCACAAAGCTTGTCAGTTACGTGATTTTAATTTACATGATGATCAACATAATGTAAATTTGTTGGTAAACGTCAAAGTCAATTATGTTATAATCGCAATATTATAGATAAACGCAACTAAGAACGTTCTGTAAATTATGCTAATGAATGTCAGAAGTTGCAAGGTTTTGACTTTAGTCAGGTTAATTTTTATAGTTGATTTTATTTAATTTGTTTTATTTATCTAACATATTTGCATATTTGTACAATTAATTCCATACAAATGCCAGGCAGAAGAAAAAATACAAGTCAATGCATTTTATCCCTCCTTTGCGAAATTAATTTCAGATTTTGATGTAATTATCAAGAGTCAAGATTGTTCCGCATTTCGTAAGAAAACTGTGGCTAATTTATATTTTTTGTGTTTATTTTATGTTTTAATAGGTTGGTGAGAATGCTTGTTGAATAAAAATTATATTCCTGTTGGTGAATAGCATTCTTTCAATTTAAAAGAAATAATATTATTAGCTGCAAAACAAGTGTTTGGATATAATCAGTTGTGAGAAAAACAGTTTAAATCAATAGAAGCATATTTGAATGGTAAAGATACATTAGCATCAATCAAGACCAGAAGAGAAAAAACGTTTGTTATGTACTTTGCGTATTAATTTTTAAGGGAATAACGTAAAGTTGCCTGTAAAACTAAAAAGGAAATTCTGAAAGGTTTCTTTTTTTTTTACGGCAAAGTGACTTCAAATTGAAA